TGCTGCTCAACCTGCCTGTCTTTCGCAAGTCTCGGTTTTTCTCAGAATTAATTTCAGCAAAATAAGAAGGCATGTTTCAAGAGCTGAGTTTTCTATATCACCAATTGGAAAAAACAAACCAAGTTTGCAGTTTAAATCGATAATATCAACATGGAGACAGAAGAGCTAATATAATAATATGAGATAACACTGACATGCTGATAAAAGCCCATTTGCCATATTTATGTATTTCACCCCAACTTGCTTACAAAGCCTGTGCCAAACTTGTGCAGCTTGCGATGGTCTGTCATATACACAATTAAAGTAACACACGACAGCGAGGTACAGCACGGAACTCAGCCACAGTTGTCCATAAACAGACTTAATCTTTTACAAATTAAAAAAAAAAAAAAGTCTTTTACACTGTTTAACCTAATTTATGTTGGGGGGGTGGAGGTAGAAACATATATATGCGGGTTTCTGATATTTTAAAATGAAAGAGAGCAAAAGTAGCAGATCTGGAGGCACACTACTTTTCTCACAGTACTCCATATATGATCCCATGCTCCTCATCCATTGTTAACAACAGAAACAAATTTCTTCATCGGCAGAGTCTGATATCCTTAACAGCTCACATAACCACTACACTCTAACTGGGAACCTCTACAAGGAACTCCCTTAGCCCCCCAGTTTCTCTGCCAGTACTACTATCCGACTGAAAGAGTGGCACTTCCTATTGCCTGGAGGTCAGGAACGCTTCCTTTCTTAGTGGCTAAGGATAGAGGTCTTCCCAGTCACCCACAGATGTTTCACATTAACAAGACTGAACCTCAACCAGGTAATTCCTCAAAAAAGAGGTGGAATCAAATTTACTCTGAGTCCTCAAGGTCATTTTGAAACCTAACTATTTAAAAATAAAATCTTGTCATTTGGAAGTTAAAGGATAAAACTTAAAAATACGTGTTGCATTTAACTGTACTGGAAATTATGATTCTAAGCAAGACAATACCTTACATTTTTTGAATCAACATCATTCTGTGTAAGAGCATTTGAAAAGTACATAAATCTTATCCTGCCAAGAAATAGCCTCTCAGCATCTTTTAAAAAAGATGTTGGAAACAAGTCTCATATGCAGAGCTGCTTCCCTATAGAGGGCTTTTAATAATAGTTTGACAGATACTGTACTTTACCAACAGTGTTATTTTATTACTGTTTATTATCAGTAGCTTGACTGATAAGTAAGACAGATAAGTAAGACACTGCATACATCCATCAGATAATGCTGCTGATGTTGCTCTAAAATTAAAGGCAGAAGTTGGAATGTTTTCTAAATCCAGCTTCTCCAGATGTGTCAAATTCAGGCCACGAGATTTTTTCAAGATTAATACACCCTTTAGCCTGTTTAAGGTACTATCTGATCTTGAAAAAGAAATTTGGGTCCTATCAACGTTTATGTTCACATTTGACATTCATGAGCATTTCCTCCAAATGAAATTAAGTGGAATATTCAATACACATGGATAATATTCACATGATTATAAATATTTTCTTTAGCTCAAAGCAGCATTAAAATCCACTTATATCAGAGTTTGGTAGTGACAGAGCATAAAAACGTACTTCACAAAAAGCCTTAGTTGTCGGCTTCCTAGTTTTTATTACCAATATTGGATGTGGGATGGAAACACTCACATACAACACTACAAAATCCAGCCACTCAAGCTGAACATTGGCACAGACAATCAAGGTCAAAATACTTGCTTTACATTCCTGAGATTACTTGTTCAATTTCTGCCAGCCAGGAAACACCCTGTCCCCTCACAGACAAGAGAGAACTTGCAAGAGATATCAGATTTTTGCAGAGTTATCACTGCTGTTTACTTCAACATCCTCACTTTTCTGAACCTTTAATGTCTGCATTTGTTATGCAGTGCTTGAAGCATCAGGAATAATTCAGGAGTGCCTCCTGGATAAACATTTCACAGCCAAAGCTTTATTGTGTCTCCCTCTCACTCATAAAATACCTTCCCTTACACTTTCTATTTCAGTAAGATACAGAAGAGTAAAATACTCCACACCTAGATCACCCTTATTAAAAGTTTCAAAAAACTTTATGCACCCTGAGGAACTGAAGCTCAAGGAGGTACTTTACTTCAATACAGGCTTCTAATGAATCTTTTAGAAGTGTGGCTGCTTTGTATTTCTGTAAGAGTCATAGTACAACTACCATTCTTCCACAGAAAAAAACAAAACTGTAGGAGCAGAAAAGCAGATCCATGTGCGTGCTGTGAAATCGATCCTCACTACTTTTCAAGACACAAGATGCATGACCAGGTCACTTACAAAAGCCGATGTAACCAAATTTCTTCTGCCATTCTCCACAGAAAGATCGGGAAATAATTAGCACCTCGTCATCACCACCAAATTTAGGGCTGTTACTCCTCCAGCTTCTCCCTTTGCACAAGGGGGTACCTTTAGCTGTTAACTTGTTTGCACTATGCCCTACAAGTGTGCCAAGAAAACAGCACTCAGGTCTTTCCAATTTAAAATCGAAGTCCACTGGAATCTAAATCAAGACATGGGCACTTGGTTAAGGAAAAAGGTTTTCAGTAGCCTGTTACACATTAAAAAGCAATTTACTGATCTCTACCATTTAAAAATCAGATGGAAAACACCACATACCTGTAAATCACACATTGCCGAGTCACTCACTGCAAGCAGGTGTCGCACACCTCTCACCACACACCTCCCTGGGGCCTTACCAGACCTCTTACACAGCACAAAGTTTTACAACTGAAACATCCTCACCCACTGTCTACCCTCCATAAACAAGGCAGCTAACAGCTCTCTGTGGTCAGCTCCATTGCGAGAACAATTTACTTCAGGGGATTAAAATCACTATTTTCAAGTATCCACCTGTTTTCCAGCTCCTACTCCAATCTGTTAAAATACCTGACGCATTTTCAGAGGGCATAAAGAATCATAGAATGGTTAGGGTTGGAAGGGACCTCAAAGATCATCTAGTTCCAACCTCCCTGCCATGAAAGAAAGCAATCCAAAAGCCAAATTTTAAGCTCTTAAGTAAACAGCAAAGTCTGTGTCTCTCTCTGATTTAGAGCATAAAAGACTAAACTTTGGCTTTCAAATCCAAGCAACTTCACTGATGGCTGCAATACAAAAAAAAAAAAAAAAAAAAAATTAAGTTAAAACCTGTTTGAGCAAACATGCCATTCAGTCATATCACTAGAGTTGATCAGTAAACACAGAATGATTTTAATAAGATTCACTGATACAGTTTCCAACTCCAAAGCACTCATCTCTCTTCTTCTAAATGCCTGGCTGGGAAATTCACCAATTCACTCATTTTCAAACAAATGTAACTGAGTCCTTTTATCTGCTTTTTCACTACCATTATCAGTTAACTCTCAGCATTGAACAGATGTAACCTCGAATACCATTCTACACTTTGCTCTGATGGTGATTTCACAAAGTTGCAAGAACCTAAGAACAAAGGAAAAACAGCTTTGGATACAGGCATGAGAGGATTTGCTGAAGAGAAAACAGCAAAATAGGCAAGATGAAAGTTTCCCTGTCTAGTCTAGTTTCTCTCAAGACACAAAACTTCTTTATAAGAGGTACTGCTTACAGTAAACTAAGCTATTCGGAGTACTATTAGAGGTGCAAATGTTGGGATAGTACCTAATAGAATGGGAAAAACAACGTCAGAATGAAATAATTACTTTTTTTCTTTTAAGTAGTTTTGCTTTATTGCTACAGAGTTCATAAACATACTAAAAAAAAGACAGTGCCTGATGTCTTTGGATGTTATCTTCAGACTATCATTTGATTTGTTCCTAAATACAGATAGGTCTTGAGGCAGAACAGGCATTGTCGTAATTTCAGCAAAAGATAAGCTTCAGAAAGTCAACTGAACGGTTTTAGTCTACTTTTCAAGTGGGTTTTGGGGTTTGGTGGGTTTTTTTGTTTGGTTGGGTTTTTTTTACAAACTGCTGAAGCCCTCGCTATCTCAAAGAGCAAACAAAGGAGGTTTCTTCCCCGGATTCTCCTGCCAAGCTTCACTCAAATGCCTCAAATCACAGACGAGCCTGCTGAATGATAACACACCGAGGCACCGTCCTGAGGAATTTGTTTCAGGGTGCAAGCTCAACCTGATGAATTCCCATTCTGCTGTATCTACTTCAGTGACCTGGCATGCGTGTCTTTTCCAGTAAAACCTGACTAAAAGGGAAAAGTAACTGCGTACCATTGTGAAGCACTAGAAGCCAAGCAAATTGTATTCTCTAAGATAACATTTCAAGTGCTACTTTCCACTTGTTCTACAGCTCGGTAATGAAATGCATTTTAAGATTCCAAGAACAAGAGCTTCCAGCTCTCTAGCTTCAAAAACAAGAAAAGGATGAGAGTGCTATCTGCAATTTAAAAAATAAAGACCCCAACAATTTTCCATTCAGAAACAATTCTTTTTTAAAGATGGAGAAATGATTTTTAAAATGTAAAGCAAATCAACCACTGAAAAACCAAGTG